CCCCTCCTCACTGATGAAAAAGTCAGATGAATGTGACATGAGCGTTCACACTGCAGTCACTTTGAAAACATCAGATATATATCCGATTTAAAACCACATACTGAAACGGTCTGGGTCGGATTTGAAAAAATCAGATTTGTCTCGTTCAGACTGTCATAAAAACTCGGATATGAGTCAGATGGGTCAAAAAAATCGGATTTGGGTCGGATTTGCCTGCAGTGTGAACGTAGCCTATGATAGGCCCACCACCTGAATAATGAAATGAAACAGAAAAACCCTGACAAATACTTTCTACTTTTCCATAGATGGATGTGTTCTTTTATTTAAGAGAACAGGCCCATAGCCACGTTCAGGTAGAAAAAAGGTTAATACAATTTCAAAATATGATTTTCAGATGAAGTTCAGGTTAAAGACTAGTTTTCACTGTCATACCTTGATTGATACTGATTTTAGGTTGTTTTATTATTCCTATGAATTTAGTAAAATGCTCTTCAAATGACTGAAAAATGCATAGTTTTAAATAGTTTATTTTTATTTCTGGAGGGGCATGCCCCTTAGCGATAGACAACTGCCCCCCTTTAATGATAGACTGGCAGACCCCCTAAAACTGCTTCATTCCACTGCTGCTTGTTAGCATGAATGTAGGTATAATGTAGACTTCTGAGATTCTGTTTTAAATTCAATATTTAGTTGTTAACTGTTTTAATTTGGCGATTCTATTTAATTTTGGATGTGAATGTATGGAAATTGGCAGTGAAATTTAGAAAGTTGCACCAACAAAAACTACAAACCAAAAGGTAAGGGTCGACCCTGCTGGGGCCAAGCATCCCCAGAGGTCAGATCCTAGAACTGCCCCTGAAAATAACCATTACGCACAATCACAGACAATACTGTACAAATCTTTTAGTATGAGTGCCTGATTATGTTATGAATTAGCATAAATGGCGCGCTGGTGTAAAAAATACTGCTTTGCATTTTCATGTTGTAGACCCAAGAATACAACCCAGTTAAGGATCGTTTTCAAACCAACTATGCACCTCTAAAAGCAGATATCAAACCAGTAGACGTTTACAAACATTTAGCTTTTACATAATTTTTTTTTTGTCCATTTATTGCCTAAAATGCTCATATGCAGTTTCACACACATCCAGCCCAGGTTGATGACTATTCAGTCCGAACACTCATGTCGCATTTCATCTAATTTTACATCAGTGAGGTGAGGGAGGATTCTTCTAAAAATGAAAAAATTAAATAAAAAATATTTAAAAAATGTTCTTTTGCTAAATAAAATAACTATTTCGCACTTTTTATGAACTTGTGGATTTCTTGCAGTCTTACCTAGTGCAATACAACTCAAAGTTTTGATTCTATGTTGTCTGATTTGTAGTTAGATAAAATGTGTGTATGTGTGTGGGCGGGTTTTCCCTACTATGTGGGGACCATTTTTGACATACACCCCAACTTGTGGAGACCAACTGGTACTTATGGGGACCTAAGCCTAGTCCCCATGGGTGGAAATGTCATTGGTGAGTTAGGGGTTAGGTTTAGGGTAAGGGGCCAGGGTTAGGCTATATAAATTAATGGACATCAATGTAATGTCCCCATAAAGATAGCTGCACTACACTGTGCGTGTGTGCATGTACAGTACTTGATTCTGCTACAGTGAAGACTGACATATGTTTTTAACTAACAAAATTAGGTCATTTTTGAGAAGTGAGGACATTTTACCAGTCCTTATTTTTATTTTTAATTTTTTGCAGTTCTGCTAGTTGGGTTTAGAGGTCTGGTATGAGTTAAGTTTTGCTTAACGTTAGGGAAAATACATTGTAGCCACAGCTGTCCTGGGGCAAACTGACAGAGGCAAGGCTGTCATACACCCACGCCACCGAGCCCAATGACCACCACCACCACCAGGTGAGGCAGATGGTGTCTTGCCCAAGGACACAATGACACAGAAGGACAGAGCTGGGGTTCAAACAAGCAACCCACCAGTTACAAGATAACCCCCTACCTCTTGTCACCACGGTCACCCCAATTCAAGATAATCTAAGCAGAATTGTTGCTTTATATCCAAAAAAATGGTCCTTTCTTATCTAATTAATCAAACTGAAAGAAGAAAAAACTTGCGCATAAAATCTGACTGAATGAACCTCTCTTGGCAAACTAAAAAAAGCAACATGGCTACCTACCCACGAGGCACCAGATTGAAAATCGTATCCAGGTGATGGCAGACAGTTTGAGCATGAGGTAGATGTTGACCAGCATGGCTGAAGCAGGTACAAATGGCACACAGGGCGCCATGTAGGGCAGCCTCTTGGGGTTCTCTGGCTGCTGAAGGATGATGACAATCAGCAGGGCAATGACGATGACGAGGACAATTAATAGCAGCAAAGCCCACCAACGACCCTGTTCGATGCAGCTCGCTCCTGAAAGAAAAGAGAAAAAGAAGAATTAGAGTGTGCTCCTTTTATACCCAAAACTGTAGGAAGACTTTGCTCACTTGTTCTTACCAAAAATAATGAAGGAACAGAAAGCAAAGAAAAAGATGAAGAGCAGCAGCACACACACAGTGACGGTTTTCCCTGTGGCCTGAGTTGGCCGATCCATTTTTCCAGGCAGGCCAAGCCGTATCCTCAGTGTGTAGTAGCGTGGTCCGATCAGTTTCTTCAGCCGCCGGGACAGCCCCCCCTCTGACTCCTCTGCTTCGATACCCGTGGTCATATCCACTGTGCCGTAGTTAGGGTGGCTGGCAGTGTACGCGTTCTTGTCCGGTTTGCCGATCAGCATCTCGTTGTCTCCGAGGGACGGCAGGTTTTTGGCTCCGCAGGTGTTCGTGGGCGGACCGCCATACTCGTCGGCCTCGCTGGTTGGTGAGCAGGCGTCTTTCTCACACTCGGCTAAAATGCCTTCCTTTTTCTTCTTGCTCTGCTCCTCAGAGAGGAAGTTCACAAAGCCGTGGATGTCACCCTCAGGTTGGTAACGGAGGAGGAGGACACAGAGGCTGACCTGTGGAGGGAGTGTGTGTGTGGAAGAGGGGTGGGGGGTGACAAAGTTGTTAATTTATAAACACTTAGGCCATAAGAAGAGAAAAAATGTTCTGTCTAGTTT